CGTCTCCTCTTTGGCTTTGGCTCTGCATTACTAGCTGATCCTGAGTCTCCGTGCTGGCTTCCTTCCTGATCCTGGCTCACAGCTACAACAAAGCTGTGAGAGAGGAGCTGCTGGTCACTGGTTGGTTCTGCTTCACTGTGGTCCCTTCCCTTATAAGCAGGAGTCAACATAAAGGGATCGGTCTCCTGCTTCAATCCAAGATGCTCTCCCTCCTGACTGCTGCAGAGTTCCTCCTGTTCCTCTTTAATCTGTGGAGGCTCTGGGTCCTCTTGGTCCAGATTGGAGTTCCTGTCCTGGTTCCAGAGCTGCTGGTCAGCCAGAACCTCCTCTTCCTTACAGACATGTTGCTGAGGCAGCTCTGGAGGAACAAAGGGACACAGGGAACAGGTCACTGATGTAGTGAGAGAGAAAAACAAAGTGTTGTAAAGCCTGTAGTATGTGTCATCATTTTCACACTGATGCATGAACTTAAAAATGTGATAACAGCAACTTCCCTTTTATACTTGAGTAAAAAGTTACAAATTAGCAAATGCGGCAATTTCATATCAGCCAAAATTAGAACAGTAAATAAATTTTTTAACAAATTCAATACAGTTCAATTTTATTAGTATATCAACAATCATCTTAAAACATTTTATATAGTGAGGTCTAGACCTTATATTATTATAATGAAAACCCAACAAATCCCCCTTGAGGAACACTGGGGAGGAAAAACTCCCTTTAACAGAAGAAACCTCCAACACACCCCGGCTCTGGGTGGGCAGCCTTTTGCCTCGACTGGTTGGGGTGAGTGGATAGAGGAGAGAGAACAGAAAGAAAAGCATCAAGACAAAACTAACAAACAGTGGACCAGTCATTGTGGCTGGTGACTGTTCATCAAAAACAGTCAGCCAAGGATGAACATGAGTTAGGTCATGTAATTGTGGTATGCAGAAATAAGATGGAGAGAGGAGCCCAGAGCATCATGGGAGGATCCCCATCCTAGGCCTAAAACTAAGACATGGTACACCAAACCAAACCAAACCAAACCAACTCGACAATGCATGTCCAATAATTTTGTCCTGTTCATGACACAAATGAACTTTGTGGTTGTAAGAGCATGAGAGAACAAATTAATTCACAAACACGTCACTACGACTGGAATGATTATTTATTGGTTTAACAATGTTAATAATGAATGTTGATGACAAGATACACAATCACCTTGTCAATGTCAGTCAGCTTGTCAGTTCACTCCTGTCTCTCTTCTCGTCCCAAATAACACACACACCCCAGTTCACTGGCTCTTTTTCCCTTATCACCAGGATGCATCCTTTTTCTGTTTTGATCCCACTTATGACGTTGGTTCTCAAACTTAGCCTCTTTAAATGAACTTTTCTGGTAAACCACCCTTGGCAACGTTCTCAAAAACAGGATGTATGGCCTGACGGACTGACCCTCTCGAACAAAAGGTCAAAGCCTGCCAACGTTAAATAAGCATTTTTTTCAACTCATACTTCAGCTTATACTCTAGTGTATTGCAGCCCATTATACTTTATTACATATTGCACACTAACTATATGCATTACCTATTAAACATATTTGTTTGTTTCATCCACTACAGATCACTATATGGGCAGAAATTAACACCATCCTGTTGAATAAAATAACTGCTATGGTTAAACACAGTGAGAGTTAACAGGACAGCCCAGGTCCAGCTGTTTCCTAGCAGTGACGAAGAGGGTTCTCAGCCTTATTGGTCCTTATGGTGCCATTTAATTCGAA